TACATCAAACAATATGCAAGCCTAGTACAAATGTGCATTATATTAACTTTTCACAATTTGTACAAATGTAAGAGAGAAGATGGAAATCAAATGAGTACTAGTAAGAATTAAACAGGAAAAATTTATTTTTTTTAAAAAAAGGAATTAGTTTATGAAATAAAATCTATGAAGTTATATTATATTTTTAGATATAAATGTAGGCAAATATTAAATGTAATGGTATTAATTAGATCTATTTCGATCTGAGATCATCCAACTAAACTAAACAGAAGAAAATTTACAATCATTTAGCTAACTTGAATCAAGAAATTTGTACTTATTAAATTGGTTCAATGTCAGGGATTTTAAAGATGGTTGTTAAAAATACGGCCTTAACAACTGAGAAAGAGAGCTAAGGATAGAATTCATTAGATACTACTGTTTGGCGGTTTATGCTCCTAGAAAGTTAACAGTCATAAGTTGAAATCTAATAAAATGAAGTGATAGTATTTAACGTATTTTCAACCTACTGATATGTTTGGCAAATTGTACATCGAATTTAGATTCGGATAAGTTTGTATAACTTATGTCCTTGTAATCGAATATTGATTTTTTTAAAAGTAGAGAAACGGGATTGAATAACTATCTAAATGTTATGTCCGGACGAAGATTAAGGCAAATAGTAAGCGCTAGGATCTATTTATGGTCTTTTATTACTTATATTCTTATTGTATAACTATTAAGTAACTATGTTATATGTATATACACATTCTTCTTATTATAAGCTTTCATATGACATATTGACTATTATTATACGATTTATTATTCTTGAGTTATTCTCAATTTATTAGTATTGGTCTCTCACAATCACAAATACTTTTTGGCTTGAACTTGTATAATTTTTATATTCTATTTTATAGTATGATGTGATCTGGGATGCTTGTATATAAACCCAAAATGTTTGAAATATGTGATTCGTATCGTGGAGGTTGATATTGGCGTTCTGAACTGAACCAGGTGGGTTAGGAGAGAAGCTACTATTCCATCGGATCAATAGAATTCTAGGTTGCTCTTACAGGTTTATGCGTCATTAGTCTTGTTGTATAAGTCAGTATCACTAATTGACGGTCGTATCACGTGATATAATTAATCGAGTGTAAAGACAGAACAGTAAATATCTTTAAAGTTGGTCAAACTATTTATCATAAAAGCTAATGTCCCTACTGAAACGTTGAAATATGGTAAGTTATGCTTGGTTTGGAGATCAGATTTTCGTCCTTGGTTGAATAGCTATCAATGATGCTACACTGGTTGTAAGAAAGTAAACATAAAAAATCGTTCTGTTTTTGACGGAGTTTTGTTCTCTGAGCTGGATAGTTTGGTCGTGGAGCTTTCATTGTTCTTCTGAACGACATCGTCAGCATAAACTTCAGATAGAAGTTCTGACGTTCTGTTTGTTTTACAGAAGGCCTTATGTAAATCTGTACTACATTTGATGTATTATTAAACACTTTAACTCCTTTCTTTTTCTTTTGAAATTCGTTCTCACTCCAATGTAGTGTTTTGCCGAAATAGCTATTAAGAAGAAACAAACTCATTGAATATTAATACATGATAGTCTAGTAAACTAAATAGATTTTAGACGTTTACTGAAACGGTTTCATTAGACTGTAAGTATTATTATAAAGTATAAGTTTGCATAGCAGTTACAATATACAGTCGAATGGATTGTTTTGAGTAATATAAAATCTAATTTAATTGTCAGTTATTAGTTATTAGAATGTACTATGTAAGGAAGTAGAAATTTCTGAATGAATATCTTTGAGACAAACATAATATATATTTAATTATAATCATTATGTTAACTACATATAGTATCGAAGCAATTGTTCGAAAGTCCAGGTACATCTAGCTGTCCTATCCTAAATTGGGTAAGAAAATTGTTGAAGATTCCATTGAAGAGTTACAAATCAAAAATATATCAAGTGGATAGGTTGGATGCAACCAAAATATTTGCGCTTCGCAGATGACCTACCTCTTCTATCACATACACATCAACAAATTCAGGCCAAGACAAACAGTATAACAGCAGTATTTACAGCAGTAGGCCTCAACATACACAAGGAAAAAAGCAACATCCTCAAATATAACACAGAGAACACCAGCCCAATCACACTTGATGGAGAAACTCTGGAAGTGATGAAAAAATTCATCATTGATAAACTTTGAGGATCTCATGCAGACGTAAAGGCGAGGATTGATAATGCAAGGGCCATATTCCTACAGTTGAAGTACATATGGAACTCAAAACAACTGTCAACCAATAACAAAGTCAGAATCTTCAATACGAACGTCAAGAAAGTGAGTTCTACTGTACAGAGCTGAAACTTTCAGAACTACTATAACAATGATTAAAAAAGTGCACGTACTTATAAAGAATTATCTACGTAAGATACGGAATGTCTGGTGGCCGGATACCATCAGAAACAGTCTACTATGGGAGAAAAGACGTAAACTTCCAGCTCAAGAGGAAATTATGAATAAACTCTAGAGGTGGATAAGACATACATTCAGAAAATCATTAAACTGCATCACGAGACAAGCACCAACGGAAAAGAGGAAAAACAAAGAACATATTAAGTCGGAATCGGAAGCAATCATGAATAGAATGAATAGCAACTTGAAAGAACTGAAATGGATTGCCCAGGACAGAGTTGGATGAAGAATGATGGTGTAGGGTCCATGCTCCTGAACCAGCGATAACAGGCACAAGTAGGTAAATATTGTTTTATGTAATATCAAAGCATCTTCTGATTGAGTTTATTAACTAATAGGGAATAATCAGATCTAATCTACAATATATAGGACATTGTAACTATTCGTATTTATTTAACAAAATATATCATTTGAATTTATAAATAATAATATTATTTTCAGGAAGGGGTTTTTGTAGATTTTATAGTAGTTTAATAGTTGAGATCATGAGTCAACTGAAGCTAAACCATCACCATGGAAAACCTAGAAGCACTGGACAGCCTTTTTCGTTCTATTGTAAGACTCCTCAACAATGCACATCCATAATCCCTCCCCGTACGACTCAAATCCAGGACCTATCATTTTCGCGTACGGAGATTTAACCTTTCAAACCACTCAGCGAGCCAGCATCCAACAATGTAAATATCTACCTTCAATCAATCTACAAAATTTTAATATATTAAAAACATTATATCATTTAAGAATCACTTTATATTGATTGATCAATTTGATTAGTTCTCCATGAAGATTTTTGAGTATTCTAGATTTTACAATAATCAACTTAAAAGGTAAATCAAATCAAATTGTTTAAGACAATCAGAATTACTTTATGTTTCTTTTCTTTTCTATTATTATTATTAGTAGTATTAGTATTAGTATTACTATTATTACTATTATATAAAAGTGAAGATAAAACTTTAATAATAAATTATTTCATTAAATGTAATCTATTTTCATTCCTTTTATCATTTTGAGAGAAAAAAAAGTAAAAAAAATAGATAATCAAATAAAAAGAAAAAAAACCCGGTTACAATTAACTTTGATCAATGTTCACGTGTTGTAATCATTGTATTCATTGTAATAATTGATTAAAACAATACATTAGTGGAAAAATAGATGAGTCATTTATAATTGGTAAATTTGATTTCATTTAGTAAAATAAAAGAATAGAAACATACACACACACACACGGAGAGAGAGAGAGAGAGAGAGAGAGAAAAAAAAGAGGGAGAGTAATGAAGAGAGGTAAATAGCCATAGCATTACATCATCCTATATAAGTTTATGTTTTCTTTAAAAAAAATTAATATTTGAAAGACAATGTTATTTTTTCATTTCCGTTTCCTTTTTCTTTTTTTTTTTTATTCATATTATGACCTTATAAGTCATGATAACCGTTTTTAATCTCCACAAATATATATAAATATATACATATGTATAATGTAAATCATGTTTATTATATGTTATATGTACTCTCTCTTGTTTGTATTCATGATATTCATTGAATTTTATTGTTAGATTTTATCTTGTTTAAGAGAATATTGTTTCGTTTCATTGAAATAATCAGAAGAGGTTTTGTAGAGATTTTTAAGAAATTTCACTAGTTGAAATCATGAGTCTATTGAAGCTAGATCACCATGAAAAACCTGAAGGTACTGGACGGCCGTTTCGTCCTAGTATGAGACTCCTCAATAGTGTGAATCCACGACCGCCCCCCCTCGCGAGATTCGAACACAGTGCTTCCAGATTTTACCATGGTGGTCTAGCTTCCACTAACTCATGGTTTTAACTAGTGAAATGGAAATAATTGTTAATCAATAATGAAACGTTTATGATAAGAGATCAGAATATTCGAGAGAAAAGAGAAGAAATCTTATGACAATTTAATAGTATACACTCAGTAATATCTGTTATATTTAAGTCTGTGACTGATTTCTTATAATGAAATATTGATTTCAGTCTTTATTATTCTCTTATCATGGCTAGTACAACTATCATCATACTATCAATTTATACATTTTACTAAAAATGTTTGATTATATGAAGTAATTCATTGTTATCACTAACTTGTAAACTGTGTTTGTTTAGTTTAATGCTTTAATATTAGTGCTTATTAGAATAAAGCTTGATAAGGATCTAATTGCATACAAGACGGTATACTTTATATGTATTGTTATAATTTATATTGTGGGAATTTTTAATATGTTAATCTGAATACATTTAAATATAGTTTAATCCTTCTGTGATCATTACCTGTATATCTTCCGTCTCTTCTCACTATTCCAGTCGTTTGAATGATCAACGTTGTAGTGTTTTGTAATCCTCTGGTCTATCCAGTTGATATAGATCGCGTCCTAAATTAAAAAGGAATCTGAATTATAAATAATTCAGAAAAGTAGTATAATAATAATAATAAAGGTTCAATGAATGAATCTCAATGTATAAATAGGTTGGTGTTCATTTTTAATATTACTGTTATCTTCATAAATGTCATCATCATCATCATCATCATCATCATCATCATCATCATCATCATCATCATCATCATCATCATCATCATCATCATCATCATCATCATCATCATCATCATCATCATCATCATCATCATCATTACCGTCACATACATATGTAGACAAACACTCAAACAAACTATCTGTATCCAATTTCGTTCTGTTCTTTGGTTTACATGTTAGCTCATGACCGAATTATCTCAACGACGACAAGGACAACAACAAAAAACACAAGTGAATCAATAACCCTAATTCATTATGTTGAGATTCTTTCTACATTATCTTACATTTTGATTTTCTTTTTTCAGTTCTATACAACAACTAAAAAAAAATAACTCTATAGACTATATATACACATGCATTATTCCTCGTTATGCTACAATTTCCGGCTTGATTAATAATATGTTTTATCCGTTATACTGATTAAGAAAAAAAAATGAAACAATAACGTATTTCATGTTTTTTTTGTTTTCTCCCTCTTTCTCACTCTCTCTCTCTCTCTGTTCTAAACACAAACACGCACATGATTCTCATTCTACAATGTAAATGTTATGAATTATGTGCCTAAAAACGACATGAGTATATTTGTGATTGTCTCTATTTATCACCCTTTCTCTATCTCTTTTTTCTTAATATAGGATAGGGAATAAAAAAATCTATGACATATATATAGACAATATTTTTCCATGTACATGAGTGTGTGTGTGTGAGTGTGTACATGTGAACTGATACACATAGAAATATCGTACATTTATACGTTTATTGTATTTGCTATTATTATTATTATTGCTCTAATGATGATGATTGAAAAATCCATAACCATGTTCCCGGAAATAAAGATAGAAATTGAACAGAATCACAAATTATTCTCTACAGGAATTGTTTTTTTCTTTGAGCATAAAGGAAGTGAGCTGATGTGTGTGTGTGTGTGTACATACACACATTCTTCATAACTGCATCATGTCTGTGATTGAACGTGTATTAACAATATTCAAGAGTCTAGATTTTTAAAATATCTGTTTATACTTTCTGCTTATTATCAAATAGAAGATATTGAGGACAGCATCTCCAGGACACATATGTAAAATACAATTTAACTGTCCATTTAAATAACAAAACAGGATAGATGAATACAGTGGTGAAGTGTATTTAATAAACTATCATGCATGAATCCGGTTTACATTTCTTTTATTTATTTTCATTCATCGTATCTCAATAAACTAGATTTTTATCTTTTCTGGATATCGTCAATCATATTATATATAATATTTATTTCCTAATGTACAATATCAATAATATTCTAACATATTAAGAACAATCTGTGAATGAATAGTTGTACAGATAAATGACGCCTTACAGTAGATATCTCCCCACGGAATGTTAAGTCAAAAGCCCTTTACCTTATCGGAAAAATACATATTGTCATTATAAGGTTTTATTTTGATCATAGACTTTTCATGGATTTTACATCAGAGACTAATTCTATGTAGACTACTTTTGAAGGTCAGGAAGTACTATAAGGCTGGTTTTTTATAGCATGGGACCTCCAGAGGTTAAAATTCTCAATTGCGCCACATTGAATCGGACCTTGGATCTTTCATCTCAGGCACGAACAGTGGGGATGCCCATCTAAAAAGGGCATTCAGTCACTACTTTCTTTCTCATAGGTCAATACGATATCATTCTGTACGCTATCGAGTTTATTTTATAATTGAGAAACATCAAAATCTTTGTCATATATAACTAATATATCATCCATGTATCTTCTATACAGAGCTACATCACTGATGTGCTCACTTGTTACATTTTCAATATATGACATAAATACATCATGTAAGAGAAGTTGCAAAGGGCTTCCCACGGCGACATAATCAACTTATCAAAAATGCTTACTTTCAAACGTGAATTGAGCTTTTGAAGTACAGAACAAAAGTAGTTCTTTCGACCGTGATGTATTTATGTCATATATTGAAAATGTAACAAGTGAGCACATCAATGATATAACTCTGTATAGAAGATACATGGATGATATATTAGTTATATATGACAAAGATTTTGATGTTTCTCAATCATAAAATAAACTCGTTAGCGTACAGAATGATATCGTACTAACCCATGAGAAAGAAAGTAATAACCGATTGCCCTTTTTAGACACACTTTTTAGTCGAGAGGAAGATAGAACTATAAGAAGGTCAGTTTATAGGAAGCCAATTCGAACGGGTCAAAATTTAAATTTCTTCAGTTTCTATCCATTGCAACTCAAGTGAGGCTTGGTTAAGGGTCTCTTTAATAGGATTCAAAGAATTCACTATAGATATCGTTGAAAAAGATTCAAAACTACTGACTGACACACTAATATGAAATAGTTATCCACTAAAATTTATAAAAAGGTGCAAAAGTCATTCAACTGTTTTTACCTCTCTACTATTTAAAGGTTAATCTAAGGCAGAAACCCATTATACTGCTAAATGGTTGTGATTGAAAAGACTAAGCTCATGATTCCAAATAGACCTAAATAATCCACAAACGTTTACGTCACATCCAACAGCATTTAACAATTTACATGTTTATGCGGACATATATACATAGTGAGAAGTAACCGAACAATGAAACCAAAGATGGTGGAACATATGCCTAGAAAGCTTCAAAATCAATCAATCTCATATGTTCCGATAAACATGGAAAGTAGTAAACCATGTTCATCGATAGCACATAAATTGAAATCAATACAACATATAAAACATTGTGCAGAAATTGTCAAGGACAAAATCTTAGGTTAATAAAAGCCTTACCAATTCATAAATTTAAACACCCCTTATATATATATATATATATATATATATATATATATATATATATATATATATATATATATATATGTCTATACCTTAAATTTGACCTAGTAATCCTTAAATCATTTTATGACCTATGATAATACGACAATTCCCTGTTTCTTTATTTCTATACGATGTTAGTTCTTTACTCTATCTCCCCTTTATCTACAATTATTATTCAAGAGGCATTTCCTGTAGTTCTAGTGAGAAGCCGTTACCAGTGGAATTTAATCAGGTCTGTTGTGAGATATCAGCTCACTGAAGACAATGGTGTACGGTGGTGCAATTTCGTGGATTAGTTGAAGTTAGACATTAACACCGTTGGATGCCGGCCGACTCAATGGTTTAATGGTTAAGAGCTCGCGCGCGAGACTGATAGGTCCTGGTTTCTAATCTCGTGGTGCCTGGGGCAGGATCGTGAATGAGCACTGCTGAAGAGTCCTGTACTAGGAAGAAATGGCCTTTCAGTACTTCCAGGTTTTCCATGATGATGGTCTAGCTTCAATTAACTCATGATTTCAGCTAGTGAAGTTTCTTGAAATTCTCCACAAAAACCCCTTATGATAATTATTATTTTGATTATTTGAACTTTTATTTAATACTATGACAAGTTTATACGTAATCAGATTGCTTGAAATATATATCTATACATAATGCAAATGCATTACATTTATTTATTTTTAAATAGATCAACTCTATCTTATCATTATCCTATTGAAATTGATAAAAGGGATTAATTACTTGAAAGATAGTTTTAATTTATTATATTATAGAATTCAAACAAAACAAAAACGTATAATGCTATTTATCATTGATCATTATGATTATTATTTTAATGGAATGATTTATCAAATCAAATACTCTAAATAACTATCACCGGAAACTATAAGCCAAAATAATTCATCATTAAATCATTATATACATAAAAGAAACAAGCTAGTTAAAGGCAATATAAATGTACTGTTATTAGGAATAATACAGAGGTATTGAATAAATATAAATAAGAAGGGTTTTTATGAATATTATAGTAATTTTTAATAGTTGAGATCATGAGTCATTTGGAGTTAGACCATCACAATGAAAAACTTGGGAGCATTGAACGTCTATTTCGTTTTGATGTGGGACTCCTCAACAATGCACATCCATGATCCCACCTCGTGAGATTCAAACCCAGGACCTATCAGTTTCGTGAGCGAGCGCTTACTCACTAGACTACTGAGACGACCGGCATTCAACAGTGTTAATGTCTAACTTCAATCAATCCATGAAAGTGAGTGACTCATCCACCATTGTCTTCAGTGATTTACTATCTCTTAACAGTTATTCATATTAAACAACTGTTTTTTTTTTGTTAAAAGGTTCCATTTTAAATTTGAAGTTAGAAAACTTGCAGTTACATATACCATTCATATCATGAATGAATAATACTATGATGTAATAAATAATTTAAGTCTGATCACAATGAACATATATATTATCTCATATAAATCTTAAACTTTACTGTAGCTCAAAAATGTATGAATTTGATTATTCACTAATTTGAACGCTAATGCAGTTATCATAACTCAGGCAACTGATTAGTATCCTAATTCATAGCGCGGAACACAAGGTTTATGCTTTTATGATTAAGTGACTTAGTTTGTACCGATGCTGAACAAAAAGATCCTATAGATTCATTTAATCTTTTAAGACACTAAAATAACTTTTATAGAATAAATGGTTTATAGTTAGAAGTGAAATCCAAGATGCATGTTTCGTCCTATTTGAAACTCTTCAGCTGAATATCCCTGTATCTAGATGTTTTTGGTTACATTGGGACTCGGACCCAGTATTATTTTGCATCGAATGCCGATCGGTTATCCCCCGACTTACTAATCCAGGTAGACACTAATTTGTTTATTCGGTAAGGTGTTTATATCATAGTTAAGAAAGGTCTGAATGACCTCGTTTCTAATACTATTGGCTGAGTTTTGATCGCCTTTTGCTAGTATACGTGTATCCTTAAGCTTAAGGAAATGGGTTTCTTACTGGTCAGTTTTCGTTTCAGTGCGTTGATGTCTTGTCTTATACCCAAGGTCATTTTGTCCGTAAATTACTACGCATGTGTTGATAGCTCCAATACTTTTTGTTTTGAATGTTAAAAATCAATAAGCAAAATGACACATAGTGGACTCTTCTGAAAACCCTCAATATTTTAGTGCGAAAAGTAATACATCTTTCGATTACGATTGCTGGTTAACATATAGGGTATAAATCGTTCCACTAAATTTATACAACAGATTTATACTACTACAAAGTAGTTAAAATATATTTACACAGGTTTTGCCTCTTAACACTTAACGAAAGATTGTCGGTGTCAGTAAACCTTATTTATGTATGATATTTGACCATTAAGCAGGGACGGTAGGTATCTACGAATTTTAACTAAGTGTAGAAGCCATTTTTCAATTTTAAAATCACTGTTTCAACCAATGAAACCGTAATGTGCGATTGGGAAATAGTTTAGATTACGAACTAACATTAGCTAGGCCACCGTTGAAAAAATTCGTTTCATCCTAGTATAGGACTTCTCAAAATCATGTAACTACGATCGCGCATCCGGATATGGAAATGAGGACCTTCAGTTTCGCGCGCAAATGCCTTACATCTGAACTAATGATCCGGAGTCCAATGGTGTTAGTACCAAACTTCAATCAATTCCTGACATCACGAAGCCATCTTTAGTTGTCTTCGCTAGGTAACTGCCGCATACAGGAAACTGTTGAACGCCACTAGTCACGTCTCTCTTCAATAACTAAGGTAATTACCCCTATCAATTAGGCTCTTCTGAGTAGAGATTGTTGAATTTTGTTTAGATTACGAACCAATCTAAGAAACAGGCAATTAAAATGAAGAATAACTGGTTAGCTCTGTCATCACCGTTTGAGACTCTTCAGGTAACGCCGTGGCTGTGGACTTTTTGATAACTTCATAATAGGGCAAAAACGCTGTCTTTTTCTTTTTTGTTGTCAATATTAGTCTCTCATCGGTTAGTAAAACCCATAACAATCAACAACCTACATAAAACAGCATATACTAAAAAATTATCTTTACTAGTAGAACTGCAGTGAACAGAACGCAGGTGGGGACAAACGAATGTATTTAACAGCAAATTGGTCAGGATAAAGCTATGTCTGTGGAATAATAACTGCAGTGCAGTAGTTGTCACGGGATACATGCTTCACTACAAAATGAAAATGTTTCAAAGTTTAATTAAAGCTGAATCTTACCATACTCAAATTAATTTATCATTCATATAGCTCACAAACACGTACACACAGACAATAATACATTGCTTTGGTTATAAAAATACATTGTCTTCTAGGTACCAACTTATAACCAATATTGTATTATAATACCATAGATTTCTTTATCACATTCAAACTGACAGCGATTTTAAGTAGAAACTGATGATATAATACATTAAACGCAATGATTGTACCACTACAAATTTGATTATGGAGCTCTGTTAAATAAATATCCCAGTGAGAAGTTACAGATTAATGTCTGTTCACCCTACTCCATCAGCAACAGCCTACTATGGGAGAAAAGACGGAAACTTCCAGCTCAAGAGGAAATTATGAATAGACTCTAGAGGTGGATAAGACATACATTCAGAAAATCATTAAACTGCATCACGAGACAAGCACCGACGGAAAAGAGGAAAAACAAAGAACATATTAAGTCGGAATCGAAGCAATCATGAATAGAATGAATAGCAACTTGAAAGAACTGAAATGGATTGCCCAGGACAGAGTTGGATGAAGAATGATGGTGTAGGGTCCATGCTCCTGAACCAGGGATAACAGGCACAAGTAAGTAAATATTGTTTTATGTAATATCAAAGCATCTTCTGATTGAAATTATTAACTAATAGGGAATAATCAGATCTAATCTACAATATATAGGACATTGTAACTATTCGTATTTATTTAACAAAATGTATCATTTGAATTTATAAATAATAATATTATTTTCAGGAAGGGGTTTTTGTAGATTTTATAGTAGTTTAAAAGTTGAGACCACCATAGAAAACATGGAAGCACTGGACAGGCCTTTCGTTCTAGAGTGTGACTCCTCAACAATGCACATCCATGATCCCGCCTCGTGAGATTCAAACTCAGGACCTATCGGTATCTTACGCAAGCGCTTAACCTTCAAACCACTGACTTGGCATCCAACAATATTAATATCTAACTTCAACCAATCCATAAAATATCATTTTAATAAAACAAATTTTAATTTTTTTTTCCTTAAATAACATCTTTCTGTAATGTTACTATAGAAACCAAACCCCAAAAAAATGCAGAACAATGTTCATGGTACAAAGTGGGTTTTTTTAAAAAGACACACACACGCACACAATTTATTCAGTATTTGAATATCAAAAAGAATAAAGAATTTAAAATATTATGCAGTACAATGATATATGTAGGCACTTAATCGATTTTCATTAAAACATTATCCTATAATTGAATCCTATGAAAATCAATATTCTATTTGTTTTATTACAACATGAAATGTATTCAAATTTTTTTGTTTTTGTTTTTCTCTTTTTTTTTCTTTTTAATTTTTGTATATAAATTTGTATTTAAATTATTCATTAGGAATAGGCTAATTGAAAACGTAATAAACATTGTGTTAACCAATTTGTATAGTATAAATGAGCAATTGGTAAGATGATATGCTAAAAGAGAAGGAACATAGAAATAAAAAGTAGAAATAATGAAAAAAAAGAGAAGATACAACCATTGATTAATAAGTCATATTATAAGGATGGGGTAATTGGAATTAAGATATCATGTATAATAAGCACCATGGGAAACCTGGAAGCAATGGATGGCCGTTTCGTCCTATTGTGGGACTCCTCGGCAGTGCGCATCCACGACCACACCTCGCGAGATTCGAACCCAGGACCTATCAGTCTCTTGCGAGAGCGCCTAACCTTATGATCTCAATCATTGAAATTACTATAATATCCATAAAAACCCTTCTCTGATTATAAATAATAGTGTTAAATGGATCAAATACTTAATTCTGTCACATTAGATCCTCTATAACAGGCAAATCGACATTATTCCTAAATTCTTACCCTAAACTTTATATTCGGAAACAAATCTTAACTCTATTTCATTATGGACTAATTAAATTCTAATCGAATCTTTATGAGAGTTTGAATAAAATGGAAGTTCTATATCCACGTACATATAATTGTATTGTAATTGTTTTGTTTTTTTATATATAAGTGGAGTAACCTGTTTACACATTTTAATACTATTGTTTTCTTCCCTATTAATGATTCATTTAAAAATGCTGTTCTTTAAATAACTAATAATTGGTTGAGAATACGTTTCGGTTGCTTAAAGCTTATCCCTATTACTATGCTCTTACCTCATTATTAAACAAAATTTCAGGATTAAAAAACTTAAAAAATCTTAGATGTTCCCAGAAGGGATACCGTAACCCTTGTTTTATTTGTACGAACGACAGGGATGATTCTATGATGTATTTAATTGACATGTATTAATTCTAGATACCCAAACCAAATTATTAATCTCCCAAACGTTAAAAAAAGCTCAGATCAAGATATACGTTATCAGCATGACTAACACATATATATTACAACTATTTACCCCTAAATGGTTGAGGGTGGGAAGAATCCGCTTTCTCTCTCGAAGTGCTCTCACATAGCCACGGGTATACAACCAATACCAGGGAAATCCTACTCATTGCCTTCTCGTGGCTGAGGTGTTATTTACGAAATTGAGAGGAAGCAAAGCGAATTTCCGGCACTTTAACCGGGTTGGTGAATATGGAGGATAAAGTTAGGGGAGTTGGAAAACCCCGACTTCGAACTAATGATGCACATAGGCTACAAGATTCTGGAGGAACAAATGGCGTATGAGCCAATTATTGGCCACCGGCTACCATGGGACCGAATCTCCCGACGTTGCTTCACTGTCTTATGTATTGAACTTTTAGGTCACAGGCTCAGAGTGTAGCTTCCTAAGAAAACTACCTGCTTCGGTTTGAGCATCCGGGCAGTATCATAATCCCCCCCCAAAAATAACTGATGACCACCAACGGAAAGATTATTCTTGCTTAAAATCGCTTCCAGATAAATCCTACTTACAATCATTTAATAACATTCGTTTTTATTTCTTTTATACTACGTCAATCATGGCGCCTCCGTAGCGCAATGGGTTGCATGGTGCATATGCATTTGGTGCCTCTGTACCATTGTGTATGTGTTCAAATAATAATACAACTCTTAACAAAAAGTTACAAAATGTACATAACTGTCTTTCCGCATTTATTAACCAATCACAGCTCACTATGATCAGATGTACGCATCAGAAACAATCATTCGGCTGTTCCATTACTGTTTGAAAAATAAAAATTGTAAGATCTTAACATTTACTTCAGTCCAATCATTAAGCTTTAATAACCAGCTCACACTGAGTAATCAAACTTTTAATGGACGTAAGTTGGGATTCTATCCTTTTTATAGTTCATAAACCATATAATGTAAGCGTTTTCTAAAAAAATATTTATTAACTTAATGAACTCGTCTTAATTTACTCACTGGAATTCAGCTTTATAAATTTCCGTACAGTTTTTGCTTGATCCAAACAAGTTCACATTCAGGCAGTGAAATTCGATGAGCGAAATTATACTCAAGCAAACATTTGCTTCATGATCACTGAATTTTCTCCTTTTTTAAACAACTCATGTTTTATCATTTGGTAGCTGACTACTTATATACGTATTAGTAGTTAGATTTTACATGAAATACAATCGTAATTGATGAATATACGTGTAGTTCACAAAACCTAACTAAAGTAAGACTGACAGACTGCCAAATTCAGTATTCTTAAGATTTAGCTAATTTTTCGGTTATTCAAAATAACTTAATGACCTTATTTAATATATAAATTTACAACAATGGGCGTTCAGATTTGCAGTGACGTCTGATTGTATTTTTGCGATATTGAATCGATCATTTGATGATAAACATTACAACAAACATGAAACGGAAGTTATCTACTTCGAGAGTTACTCATGCACTAGCTCGAAACAAAGTGAACCATAAAGGATGCGAAAATCAAATTAACGGTATATTCCTCAGTCTTTTTAGCACAGTAAATTAGAAAAAACTGGTCAGAATGATTCAAAACATGTGATAATAATAAGATAACATTTAAATAAATTACGAACACTTGTGATGTACACAAAATCACTGAGCATATTTAGCAAAATGATCATATTATTAAATGACTGTAATGAAGGCGAATATGATCGAATTTGCTCCATAATGTGTTGAATACTGTCCATATTAGTAACCAGGCTCGCATACGATTGAGTGCAACACTCTGAACTACAGTTAACGTTTAAAACCTAGAAATATTGACCACCTATCTAGAGTGAAATATGTACAACCTTTAGTTAGAACCCCAGATCTATACTTTGACAATTCGCCGAACAATTTTCATTAAATGAAACATTACTGTGAAGACAATTTCCTATCGTTGATGTAAAGTGGTTAAAAAACTGATACTATAGAATTGGGACGGAGAACATATCAAAGACATATTTTGTCTTTTGAAGTTTGACTACTTAAATAAATACTAGTAGTTACATTGTTCATTTAAAAGTTTGAAGCCAAGATAGTATGACTTACTTTATAAAACATATTATTTTTATTTGAACTGATGGTTAATTTCATCCTGGATTTTTCTTGGTCAATAGAGGTGAAGGTAAAATCAAATCTTGTCTCTAACCAGTCGTCTAGAATAAAGGTGAATCTGGAATTTTGATCAACAGATAATATTTGTGCAACATATGACATAGTACCTGTAACGACGAATTTAGAAAGTACGTTTATCATTTGTAAATTTCAATTGATGAACATACTCTATTATACAATTACTTGTTTGCATAGTGGGAATCGACTTGTTATTAAACGAAACTTATCACAATGATGTGTAATTTATGTTTAGTAACGTCACCGATAAATAGAAATATATTGTACAAAGCATATAACCCACCGACTGATCACTGATGAAACATCTCCCTTCACTGACAGACACAATAGAAAGACCATAAATGTATTATTCCCTTTGAATAAATAAAGGTGCTGTGACGAATTTTCTACTATCTAATCTTGAATATAGGAACTTTCATAGCCATTCACATTTTAATTTTCGCGCACCAATTTAATATCAATCTTTAAGTTAATAGTATGATTAAACTTTCTCGTTACATCCCAAGGAAATGATGATAGTTTTTGCTTCTAAATTGATAAACAATGATCACCGAGTTAATGTAAGGTACAAAGATATATGTTTCGATTGAACGGTATTTGATTTATTGAGGTGGGTGTTTGGATATGTCATTTATTCTGTCTAGTTAAGTGAAACAATTACCACTGAATTCATTTGGTAACCTTAGACAGCTGCGACGGATACCTACCTAAAATTAGTAACACCTCGGATAATGTTTTTCCGAAGATATTGAATCAAAATAAGTGGAAATTTTCGGTAAGATTCAACTGGAACACTTGATGTCTTAACTTGATCTCAACTTACAGAGATGGGTTGGAATTTTGAACCAGTACAATCTGAAACAAATGTTTATTTCTGTAGTACCAGGCATCGAGACTTTTCAGTCCTGTTAAGCTGAACAAGGATAAAAAATAATCCTTTCTCAGCCATAACAAACAGTCATGCTAGTAGTGGTAATCAGCAACTTTTTCAAGAACTAATACATTCATAAGGTAACTTGTTTATATGATGCATACAAGTATCCTAAAAGAGACAAGTGGGTATTGCGTGGAGACAAGGAGTTTACAGAAGCAGAAGAGAAACTTTCAAGATAGTGTAATTCCAACTAAACATTCCTCAAAAATCGAGATTACAAAAAGTCAGAATGTATTCAATTCATGTATTAAATGGTAACACTGACTATAATATCTTCAAAACCATTGGAAATAGTTGACAGATAGAATCGAGTTTATTGTGTTTGTTGAAGTCTGTAAAAGGTTGAAATTTAAATTCGTATATTCAAAATCACAATATTGTTAATCTTTAATTGCTTTATTGACCACACATTTAAATGCTTTACCATGTGACATTAAAATTCAGGAAATCTCTGAGAACGCTCCTTTTATATTTTGCTTCCCTTCTCAACTTCATTTGTCTAACTCTATTCGTTAATTTTGGTTTCCTCTGCTGGAAGATGAAATCTTGTCATCTATGGGATAAACTCTCCATTATTAAAAGTTGTTTTGCTGCATTCAATTACACCTCCTTCCTTAACGTATTCATTTATTCAATAAGCAATCTTATGGATGATGTTTACAAACTCATGTACATCTAAAGTTTTTTTATTAATTTACATAGATGTCATTTCGTATGACAATTAACATGTTCTCGTAAATATGACATTGGTTTTTAGCCTTTACATTTGATGCTACTGTTTCGAGTTATAAGTAGTTGAACATAAAGTACAAAATAAGTGAATATATATCATAGGGCTTTGGCTGTTGTTCTCGGCTGATAGGAAATTATTTAGGGTAGAAATTGTATCATACCAGGTATATAATGAAAGTAATGATTGTTTTATGACACTCATAAATATATGTTACCTAAAAATCCATAATCGACCACCATAACAAATTCCTCACCAATAGCAAGATGGAATGATTTCGTCAAATTTTCTACGGCCAAAACGGAAGGTATCCACTGTAAGATAGAATAAGGAAAAACAAATAGATAAAATGAAGCAACTCCACTCATCCAAAGTCACATTATTCAAAGTGTCTACTGACAGTTTATTACTAATGAAAATGATTTAGCGTGTAAATATTTTGAGTAGTTCTCCTGAAAGTTATTCTGTTTAGTAAGTATTATCTTTCATTATAAGCTGATTTCATGCGGAGAACCAGTAAACAGCAAAAAGTAGGAGAAACGTATGCTTTATTTCGGTTTAGTACTCCATGACAGTTTGAAGACACAACCCTACATAGGATCAAATGCAACACTTACGCATATCACAGCACGTATGATCATTCAGTCATAGTCTACACAGAATCTGATATAAATATTCATTGGCTCAAGGAGACCCCCACTTTAGATCAGCATGTCACAAGACAGAATTAATAAGAGATAAAATAATATCATTGACTACAGAAGAAATGTAGACATCGGAAGTATAGCTCACAAGAAATGATTAAAGAATGAAAAGTATGAAATGATTTCATACAATATTTTCCTATTGATAAATTTGACTATAGCATGCACGATAAACGTAACAGAGTAACAGGAATTCATTCCTATTTCGTAGATTCTCAATAACCGTTTACAACATAAACATAGTAGTATATATTCTTTAAAAACCAGTGTATTGCATTATATCAGGAAGGTTTTCATCAGTGAGAATGAATGAAAAGACAAATAAGTATTGAAAAATCACAAGTGTCTATTTTTGAAAATATTTATCGGCTGAATATATACATATACTGGAATGAGAACTAAGAGCATAGAAACAGAATTGTTTAGGCATGAAATAGCAATGTTATAGTTATATAATCATTAAAGTAAAATAGAATTGATGAATTGAGAGCAGATCAAATGTACGAATGCATGAGTTTGGTTTAAGTCTTTTTGTGGCGACTGATTCAGGGAAACATACCAAATTTGATATTATTTGTTTACCAATTATATCGACGGATTTTGAGACATCGATTTCATGACCAGTGCCAAGCAAATGACGTTCAATTGAACTGCTAGGAACGTACTATCTTTTTCTTCCAAGCTGGAATGTGGTTAAAGACACAAACACTAACCCTCCTGTCAGTTCTATATATATATATATATATATATATATATATATATATATATATATATATATATATATATATATATATATATATATATATATATATATATATATATATATATATGAATAGTAGTAACGTCAAGCAGAAATTTGTTCACACTTGACTTTTACAATGAGCGGTTTGTTTAGTTCAAAAGTATCCGCTTGTCAGCTGGATATATCATTTTTTATTATGGCTTCCAAGCTCAAATCAATCTTTTCAGTTATTTTATCACCCTTGAAGCCGAGTCCTTGGAAGACAAATTTCTAATCTACCATAGCATAAATTGAAATCATTATCATGTGTTTACCAGTAAAAACTTCGACAAGTAATTCCCGGAGTTCTGGTGAGAAGCTGTGACCAGTGGATTTCAACCTTGTCGAGTATAAAACACTTAACCACCGAACACAATGGAAGATGATCACACGATATCGTGGACTGGTTGAAATTGGACATTAACATTATTGATGCTTAATGCTCTGGAGGTTGAGCGTTTGCCTACGAGACCGAAGGTTATAGGTTTGAGTGCCGCATTTGGGATCGTGGATCTGCACTGTCCATACTAAGACGAAATGACCGTCCAGTGTTTTTAGGTTTTGAATGGTGGTCTAACATTAATCGGATCATGATGACAATTAATATTAACCTCAGTTAAGAATGACTTTTTAATTAAAGCAGAATCTATAAAAATAAATTACTATTTGAACAATAACGAACAAACTAATGCGCTGATTTGAGTGGCCCTGTAGAGATTCGTCACGAGACCAAATAGGCATGGACTCGATCGAACATCAGTTAACGAAGTCACTGACTATTAGTTAGATTCATGCTTATTTATTCATTTGAACATATAAATATTGGTAGAAAGGGGCAGCGAATACATTTGCATCACACAAGTCACTTGAATTGTATGTGGGCTGTGATACTGCCCGAGTGCCCAGATCGAAGTAGGTGGTCTTCTTAGGCGACCACACACCGAGAGTCTTCGACCTAAAGGTCTGATCCACAGGGCAGTGGAGCGACGTTGGGAGATTCAGTCTCATGGTAGCGGGTGACCAATAATCGTTCCCTCAGAATCCTGGAGCCCATGTGCACCAGTGGTTTGGAATCTGGGTTTTCCAACCTCCCTATGTAGATCCTCCATATCCACCAACCCGGTTAAAATGCCGGAAATTCGCTTTGCTTCCTCTCAATTTCGTAAAATAACACCTCAGCCACGAGAAGGCAATTAGTAGGATTTCCCTGGTATTGACTGTATACGCGTGGTCATGTGAGAGCATTTCGAGGAGAGCGGACCCTCCCCACCCTCGACCATTCCAGGGTATTTGGGGTCTTAAACCATGCTAGTAGATGCAGACTACCTGGTTTGGCTTCGAAGTGATCAGTGGTTGAAAGAGTGAAGCTAAATGGTTTAGAATCAGTAGAAAAAAACTTAGATATATTTACCATTCGTTTCACTCTAGATCTTGAATCCCAGTATTTCTTCATATCTATCCTTCATTTTTGCCTTTTTAAATCAATATTAACAATGCTAAATCATTCTCATTATCACTCGTATTACAATATTTCTACTCCTTTATTTTATTTATCTTGTTAATTTCAAATAGCTAGGACACTATGATAATATCAACTTAAGATAACTCATATTTGTGTCATGATCTTCGTTGATCATAACTGATCGACTGACATGATCAGTCAACACGTTTGGCATGACAGAAAATAGGATCAAACAGTTATTCAAGTACTTCACAAATCTTATTGATTCCTCAATGAACATCAGTTTTATAGTAAAGGTGATCTTTGAAATGAGTATGTTTTATGTACAAGAATTTAGGATAAAATCAATATTATCAAGTTGAATGATATTTTGTTTAAAGAAAAAAAAAACAAACAAGACAGTAACTATTAACTTACACGAGGATAAGTAAGAAGATTTGTGACATGACGATAACATTCATGAATAGGTATTGAAACAACAACTTCTTTCTGACCAATTTTCCCATTATGAATAACAACTAATCGACTTATTGATGCAATTAAAAGTAAAAGAGCTGCTAAAATTAATTTCATTTTTGTATATATATATACTTCTCAGACTAAAAAAAAGGGATTACTGTTTTTAAATTATATTCAGATAACTTATATATGTAAATAGAATTGAAAAGAGGAGAGAGAGAGTGAGAATATAATGAACAACTTATATTTTATTGGTCAGCTGATATACAACCAATAAAAATGAAATGAACTTATCGACCATTCTTATTCACTACTATGACTACTATTGAATAATTACTCCCATAGTGAAGAAAGAAGCAAACATATCGTCAAATCTAATGTTTTCTCAGAACAATACATTTGTTAACTACATATGATAACTTTTTGTATACATTTATGAATGATGAGAAATACAGAGACAATATGTTTGCTAAAGTCAATATATTGTAGAAAAAATAGAGAGTATGGTGGTTCAGATGGTGGTTGGAGTTAGTCGACAGGATACCCTGGACCCGGGTTTCGTGCTACTTGGCCCTTGTCAGCAAGGCGTACCATCTGGTTTATTTGAAGTCTCTCTAATGTAGAAATATTTTCACGAAGGAAATGTTTGGGATGCGATTCTATTCCTTTAAATGTAAGTTGTTGTTCAGGACTGGCCTGCATCAACAACTGAACTAAGGATAGAGTTAAGTAGTCGGACGCGTCGACAACTACACTATCATGGAAGTCTCATCAGCCCTATTGGGTTGGTGTTTGATGAAATATCTGCACCGATTCAAAAAGCTCGTTTGGCTTTTGCCAACTTACGTCACCTATGGCAAAGGCCAGATATTCGTCTATCAATTAAAGGACGAGTATACTGCGCGGCAGTTCGTTCCGTTCTACTATACGGCTGCGAAACATGGCCTTTAAGAGTAGAAGATACTCGTAAGTTATTAGTGTTTGGCTACAGGTGCCTTAGAAATATTGCTCGCATCTGCTGGGATCACCGGGTAAGTAATAGTGAGGTTAGACGCAGGGTACTAGGGAATGATGGTAAATCAGTTGATGAGGTTATGAATCTTCATCGACTGAGATGGTTGGGTCACGTGTTGCGTATGCCTGAACACCGATTACCACGACGCGCAATGCTGACTAGTGCAGGGGAAAATTGGAAGAAAGTTAGGGGCGGCCAAACCAAAACGTGGCATCAGTGCTTGAAGTCACTAACTTCTGGTCTGAGCCATGTTGGAAGATTCAGATTGTCTGGTTGGGTTCGGCGTGACTATCGTAACCAATGGTTGGAGACTCTTGGTGACATGGCTCAGAATCGATCACAAGGGCGTCGGTGTATACACTCTCTTTCTTCCTCTAAACTAAGAGATTAAAATCGCCTCATATCTTTCCTTCTACGAACTAATTCTCTCTTCCTACACTATATCCTTATACACAACCTTTCTTTTATATATTACTGCCACTGAAGTAACTACTCCTGTGAATCCGATGTTCATCTTGTTGTGCTAATAAGGTGTGGCAACTTGGACCGATGTACATATGTGCCTGGTATTACGTTGCAGCTGACTGTGTGACTGACAGTGTAAAGAAGACAAATGAAACATTAAAATTTCGATAATCCAAATACTTTGTTTCCGCCTTAAAACAGTTAAACATTTTGGTAACTTTATATTATTCAAAGGGGATATAGAAATTTATCCAAATTACGTGACATATTGGTGAAATACATTTTTAAAAATCCGATCACATATTTACATGTTAAGATATTTGTGTAATCTGGTGAGACTATGATTTATGGACGAACGAATGAAATTAAGGATAGTGAGTCTTGGGTTTTGTCGCGAAATTCACTCATTCAAATAGTCAAAGAATATTTTGAGATTATAGCTGATGTTGGTTCGTGATGAAAATTCTTACTTTAATTCCTAACCCTGAATCACAATCTAATTCCTCATAATAATTTATAACCCTGTTTAGACCCTAATGAACGAGTTGTCTCAAGGACACGTGGTCATCTCTCAGAAGTCATCTACAAACTATAATCTCAATGTTTCGTCCTATTATGAGATTTTAAAACAATATACATCTACGATCCCACCGTGGATCGAACCCAGAACTTTCAGGTCTCTAGGCTGGCGCCTAACTGCAACAAGCTTTCCGTTTACTGCGAAATCTCTCGTTTTGTGATTGAGAATCATTATTCTCTATAGATAATCACTTGAAATTGTATGTGTGAAATCCCATAAATTGAAAGAATAAAATTTGTACTTAACTTCCAATCTTCAGTGCTAATTACCTGGAAATTACTTATGAGACTGAGACACAACGTGAAAGTCCAATTAATACAAAAGCTCGTTCCTGTTAGGAGAGCTAACTAATTTTTTAAGTGAATTTCCCATGTGATTTGTCTGAAAATATCCACATTTATATGAAACTACTTATACAGTCGGATTATATGTATATTATGGTTGCGCATACCGAGGTACGTGAAGTCGAATTTCAAGCCGAATGCTTCACACCATGTCCCTTTATCCACTAACTAGCTGATACCGTACGCGTATACCCTGTAAGATTTGTGATTACATGTTATAATTACACTGCCAAGCAATCATTGTGTATCTGAATACACAAAAACGCAAAGAGTACTTAAAATGGGATATTTGAGTAGATGCAAGTAAACAGGAACAAATAAAAATAAGCCTCTGATGTGGTAAAGAAAGACCAAAGCAATTTATAAGCTTAACTGAGGTAAGATATCAACAAAGTAAATCTGTATTTATGCCTTCAATTATTTGGTGTAATTAATTCAGAAGTGGTTTTTCAAGGTGAACAAGAATAATGCTGGTTATTAGGGATGACTTCTGAATAATAGACTTAGTAAGATGCATATATCTCTGTAACTTTTAGTGGCTCGAGATCTGACTCCAGTTAGGTCTCATGATCGATTGTTATTGAGATAAATATGTCGGCTATTCTCGTATGTGATAATTTACCTAATCCGCGTTAGTGAATAACGGAAGTAAATAAGCGAAATACGAGAATGGATTTTGATTATGTATATTTCATGCACTCATTGATTTAAGCAGGCGATTGGGGAGAAGCGGAGATAAATGACACGCAGTGGAGAAATCGTGTGAACCAACTCGATTTAGTCAAGCGTTAATCGATATTCATAGTCAGGCAAAAAAAAGTTACAGACATGCAATGAGTAAGATAAGAAATTCACACACATACGCTCACATAAAAAGTCAGGGTTGACAAGCGAATAATTAACAAGGTCAAAACGTAACCCAAGAAGAATGGATAAATTGGCCCGTCCAGAAGCTAGAATAAGTCATGTGGGCTTAACATAGTAACCGGCACGACAAGCCTATAAAGTCCTCGACTGGGAATACTTACAAACTCGAGAAGTCTCGTAGGGCTTAAGTATTCTGTTACTAACGCGTAACATACCGACCGTTATTGCTACCTTGTCATGGTGGTGGGGCTTGCCTATCGTAATGAACCAATCGAGCTATACTGACTGAAACTATCGTTCCTGAAGGTCCTACCATGCCAGAACGGTAAAACTAGAAGCCGTAAACCCAAGGTCCGAAGTCGTACTGCTGACTGTACAAAGGTGTGATGACAGTAAGGTGTTTCTGAGATGATGGAAAGAAAAGTTAATTTTCGATTGATTTACTAGTTATTAGTTTTGTTCAACACTACTTCCGTTTTGATTCAATGTAATGATTACTCAATGTAGTATTTGTTTTGTTTTTTCGTATGATATTTTCTTCTTTTATTTATTTATTTGAACACATAAATATTTGTACAAGAGGGCGCCAAATATATATGCGCCACACAAAACAATCAGAATTTGAAGAGGAGGAAAAAAAGGAGGATAAGTAGCATAAAGAAAGAACAATAACGAACAGATTAGTGTAAGGTAGTGTAACAATAATAATAATGGGGGAAACGAAAAGGTACAATCAGAAGAAATCTTTCAGTTAAGGAAGAAGCAACCACTTTTTATGAAGAAAGTAAAAGAAGGTTACAGCAAGATCACCACTGGCTTCTATTCTGAGCCATATCTGATAACGTTTCTAGCCACTGTGTTACACCATCTCTAGGACCCCAGCCAGGGAATCGTGAAGGTCCAACACAAGCCAGCCCTTTTCAGCTTTCTTTCATACCACGACACCATGTCATATACCGACCACCTCTCCGCTTTTCCCAACCTGTCCCAGCGTTGGCAAATAATGCACGACGTGGAATTCTCTGGGACAACATCCGTAGAACATGTCCAAGCCACCGAAGTCGGTGTTTCAATATGGTGACACCAATTGGATTGTCATCTCTGTACCCCAACACACGATGCCGAACCTCCGCATTATTAACATGGTGTTGCCACTAGATGTCAGCAATCTCTCGGAGACAGCGATGATCGAACACAGATCGCACAGTAAGACAATATCATCCGCATACTCAAGGTCGAGAAGTCTTTCTCCAAGCAACAGATCTAAACAGCCATTAACTTTCTCGGATAGACAACAAATGTTAATATTAAGACTTTCCAAAGACATAGCCAGCTCTATCTTTTGTCCGACCTGCATAAGTGTGCGAACGTTAAAGGCAGCCAGTTTTATTGGTGCACGTGGTTTCAGAAAAACTGCTTCAATATTCGTATTTAGTGGTAGCATACAATTTTCAATCAGGCAATGACTCGAGAACGTTTAGATAGAGCCGAATTTCCACGATAGGTGAGCTGCTGTATAAGTCGAAAAATAAGTATACACAGAGTGGGAATAAAAGAGGGTGAATAAATGACGTAGTAAATAATAATAGTCAGTCAGTCAGTAACAACGTAGAACTTCGTACGTACGTACATCAGTTCGAGTTGCCATACCACATTAGCACAGAGATTCAGTTATCGATTCAAATTCCGTAGTGGTAGAGGTACTAAAAGTATAAGTAGTGATAGGGAACATTAAGGTTTGATGATGTTATTTAAGGAGTATAGTCCAGTGGAATAGATTTGGAAAGAAAATAAAGGACATGAAGAATTCAGAAGATTAGAGTTTGAGAGAACACAAAGAGTGGATGCACCTGCGCCATTGCAAACGATTTTGAGCCATGTCATTCAAGGTCTCTAACCATCGGTTGCTATCATCTCGCGGTCCCCAACCAGGTAGTCTACACCTACCAACATGGCTCAGCCCACTTGTCAGTGACTTCATGGATTTGTGCCGTGTTTTGGTCTGGCCACCCCTAGCTTCCTTTCAACCTACTCCCATGCCATTGAATACCGCACGTCCAGTCAGTCGGTCGTTGGGAATACATAACACGTGTCTCAACCATCTCAACTGATTAAGTTTCACTACTTCATCGATTGATTTGCCATCCTTACCTAGTTAGTACCCGTTTCCTAACAACTGCATTACTTACTCGGTGGTCCCAGGATATACGAGCAATGTTTCGAAGACACCTATGATCAAATACTAGTAACCTACGAATACCCTCTACTCTTACTGGCCATGTTTCACTACCATAGAGTGGGACGGAACGAACTGCTGTGCAGTAAACACATCCTTTGGTTGATAGACGGATATCTCGCCTACACCACAAATGACGCAAGTTGGCAAAAGCTAATCGAGCCTTCTGTATCCGTACCGAGATTTCGTCACACACCAGACCACAAGAACTGATGAGACTTCCAAGATAAATGAAGTGGTCGACACGCTCAACTACTTCACTCTCTATCACTAGTTAAGGTGCCGATGCAGCCCAATCCTGAAGCAACATTTTGCATTTCGAGGGAGAGAATCGCATGCCAAACATACCTGCATTGTTGCTTAGAGTGGTCAGAAGACTCTGCATTATGTCTGCGTTTTCACTAAATAGAACTATGTCATCGGCATACTCTAAGTCAACAAGCGGATCTCCCGGTAGAAGTTCCACTCCTATAAATTCAGATGAGGAAAGTGTCATCTCTAAAAGCACGTCAACGACAAAGTTAAACAAGAATGGAGAGAGTGGACAGCCCTGACGAACACCACTTGAGGTAATCAGTTCTGATGACAGTTCGCCATAAGCTCTCACTCGACCAGTTGTGTTCGAGTAGAGAGCCTTTATAAGGTTAATGTACTTCTTTGGTACTCCCTTCAGTGACAAACACTGCCATAGAACCTCACGATCAACAGAGTCAAATACCGCCTTAAGGTCGAGAAATACTACCATTGTGGGGCGTCTGAATGTGTGTCTATGTTCTAGGACCTGACGTAATGTGAATATTTGATCAATACAACCACGCACAGGTCGAAAACCAGCCTGGTTTTCTCTAGTCTGCTCTTCACGAGCTTTGGTTAGACGTCGAAGTATTATTGAAGCTAATATTTTAGACACTATATTAGTCAAACTAATTCCTCTGTGATTGTCACAAGAAGACCTTTATCCTTTCTTATAGACTGGCACAATCAGTGATTGAGACCATTCAGATGGGATTACATCCAGTTCCCAGATTCTACCTGAGACCTCAGTCAATCTAGCTGCTAATACTGGACCGCCATCCTTAAAAATATCAGGGGTAAACCTGTCAGGGCCTGCTGTTCTCACACGCTTCAGATTTCCTATGGCTTTTTCAACTTCGTAAAGAGTCGGAGGACTTACATCAACTTGCCATTCAGGTAGATTGGAGATCGTGGGAAACCGAAGTGTGGCTGAAGGCCAGTTGAACTGATTCCTAAAGTGTTCTGCCCATCGATCCAAGTAAATAATAATAATAATGTGAGTCATTAGATTGTTATTCGGAGCAAGAAAAATGTTTTCCATAAATAGACAGTTCATTTCTTTTTTGGTGTGTGGGCTGTGATACTGTCCGGGTACCCAGACCGAAGCAGGTGGTTTTCTTAGGGGGCCACAGCCCGATGTTTTCTTCTGTATAATATACGATATTCAGTTGATATGAACTATGCTCAGCATGTGATTTGTGATAACTGAGTATTTTTATATACGTGATTTCATCATAATTATTAATCAAAGTATGTGTACAATCAATATATAAATGAGTGTGCTTTCGATTAGGTAGTCGTCGTCGTGTTTTCGGGTCAATAAATCTTCACTTATACCAGTCTTTGTGTCCTTACTTTCGAGTCGTGGGAATTTTGGAGGTCCCTCGTCCCGAGTATAAGTGATAAGCGTTTCCGACATAACAATCAGCGACGACCAGATATAACAAGAAGCATTCAAACAACAAGATATAAAAATCGGCGACTGCGATTTCGGAAAACATTGACAAGCTATGACAGTTTCCTTCAGGCAACCAGCATAACAGCGATGCTGCCTCCCCACAAGGAGGGTGGGGTTGGAAAAGGTCGACCACAAAAGTACACACCTCGCCTTATCCCACGGATATCCGTCTCCGGCGGTAAGTTCTCAACAAGTACGGAGCTAACACGAAAATTATTAATAAACAGGCCGTACGAGACCAACCTCAAGTAGTTGTCCCATGGGCACTACGGTCGCGCTCTCAGGCCACTCTAAGACCACCTCTAATCCAATTTCCTTCCCAGATACCTCCAGAAGAACCCTCTCACGGTGTGAGCAAGTGGGAAGTAATAACCGCCCTCATACTTCTAACAGCACTCAAGATCACTGACTGAACGAGTAACATATTATACCTAAGATTTCATATTTAAATAAATACTTAGAATACAGTACTCTCCAAAGTATGTTAGTAAACAGTGCCTGAAACAAGAATTCTGTAGCCAATACTCACTAATGCATTCGGTTTGACGTTATCGGTGAAATAAACTCATTAACACACTTTATCCCACTATACAATAATTGTGAAAACAATATCTCGTGAGCAACCATTGTTCGAAATCTTCAATAGTCACCTTTCATAATATTTATATTACTGCAGTATATTAAGATTTGTGTGAAGTTATTGCATTCCACTGAAGTCACATTCTTTTTTGTAGATTGCCATTATTACCACCAAACAGAAACGAGTAAGTGATATAAAGAGGTCTTCATGTACTGTAACCCTTCAAATGTTTGTTACGAAACTTAGAATTTTACAAACGGTACGGTAAAAATGGTTTTGGAGGAAAACAGAATACTAGTAATATTTTAAGTTTATTTAAGCACATAAACATTAGTATAAGAGGGCACCGAATACATATGCACCATACAGGTCACTCGATTTGTGTGTAGGCTGTGATACTGCCCGAGTGCCCAGATCGAAGCAAGCGGTCTTCTTAGGCGACCACACCGAGACTTCGACCTAAAGGTCTGATCCACAAGGTGGTGCATCAACGTCAGGAAACTCAGTCCTATGGTAGCCGGTGACCAATAATTGGTCCATACATTTGTTCCATCAGAATCCTGGAACTCATGTGCACCAGTGGTTTGGAATCTGGGTTTTCCAACTTCCCTATGCAGATCCTCCATATTCACCAACCCGGTTAAAGTGCCGGAAATCCGCTTTTGGTTCTCTCAACTTCGTAAACAACACCTCAGCTACAAGAAGGCAATGAGTAGGACTTCCGTTGCAATAGCAGTATACCCGTGGTCATGTGAGAGCATTTCGAGAGGGGGTGACTCTCCCCGCCCTCGGCCGTACCAGGGTATTTAGAGGCAATATTTCAAATACAGAAAAACTATCTGCATATGAAGCATTATCCATACATACACTTAAATAAGTCTAGTTTGTTGTAAAGCAGTTTGAAATTTGATGTAACAGCAATATAAAAGACCAGAATATGGTCTTACTGAAGTAAAACTATATACAATTGGATATTTCTTCTCTGCAGTAAAATCATCGTTGTTTGGGGAGAATACTTAAGTTTTTCGCAGTCTTAGCCATACGTATTTTAAACCCTACCGCTTTAACTGTTCAAATTGTATTGCACTAAGATATAACAGTTTGACAAAACTCGTCTACTCGTTGCAATATGTAAGCTTGCCAAAGGGGTAAACTGTTCTAAAAGACCGATATCACTGGTACTGTGGAATATAGATTATTAAGAATATTTGGATGGAAGACTCATTAGTAATTTGAACAGCTGCAGATAACGAACGAGTAATAATTATAAAATAATCTAACAATTGACAATTTATTAACGCATTAACTTGAAACCTCGCTAATTTTACCGATATGTATTCTTGACTGATGTACTCAAGACCTAAGCTAAACATATCGAGACAGATTTTATGGGTTTTAATAGAATTTGGAATGTCTAGTCTGCACCTGTTGGAAACAAATTATGGATATTTCCATGTACAATTCCTTTTGGCCACATGTAGGACGCAAGCAGTTAACAGTGCTACTTCTATGCATGTGAACTTGAGGCACACTCATGTAGAAGCTGATGGTAAAATAAAAATATACTTACCTAATGTATCAAACACGTATTCAAGAAATTTTCACCATTTGATATGGTGAGATCGCATTTTTGGCTAATGAAGAGCATAGAGAAGTCTTCAAAATATCATCAAAGCGAGAGAGATGACTGTGTGGTTCCAATAGTGTCGTTGAAAATTGAATGAGGTTACTAAAGGTTAGAGGAATATTATTGAGGCTATATTAACACAGGTCAATATATCCATTACTACTGTTACTGAAGATAACCGAGGAAAACGGTGCAAAGATCTAGTAGTCTAATTAAACAACATAAAATTTTGCAGAACTTTAGAATTTAGACTGGTTTATTCCAGGTACACACGTAAGGTATTACATAATTGAAGTAAATCAACGCAATTTTGTTGCACAGAATCTGGTGAACATAAATCTATATCGACCATAGGCAATCGTGAACTGGAGCACTCAAGTACAAGGATTTGAGCAGAGCCTTTTGTTAGAAAATAATACTAATAGAAGAATAATTTAGTTTTATTTATAAAGTGCCTAGGTATCAAGTATAAGTTTAGCAAACCAATGTTGATAAAATATTTATGCACTTCGATTCCCTTTCTCTCGAAGACACTGCTGCTTTAATATTTTGGTATTGCTCTCCTTCATTTCCATATTCTTAACATGCTTTTCTTGAGTTTCTTTCATTTCGCCAACCAATTGAATTATTTTGTTCTACATGATAAAATGCCGTATCAACACAAGATTAATGGCTTACAGATACTTTGTATTGCTGAATAGCTCGTCGCCTTTGCCCTTGGCTTGTAAATTGAGGATTAGCCTTTCCTGAATATTACGTTAATCAATTCAGCTACAAACCTATGACAATGTAGTCAGGCAAATCGGTTAAAGGTCCCCACTCGTTATTACTCGGAGGCAATCGACGTCTTTAATTAAGATTTTATGCAGTGTGAACAAACCTAGCTCTAAATAATCCCCCAACTTGAAAACCAGCCGTTTGGTGAATCTTCCTGACATTGTTAAATCTCAAAACACGCGCCATACTATGACCCAAGTGACCTACATATTCAGATAGTTCAAATGGTCATTCAGATGGTTCAAATGGTTGTGGACGGAATAGGAGAAGCTTTCGCTTAACAGGCTTCCGTGTCTAGTAGCAGGGGATCCCCAATACCTTCAGGCAAGAACCTAGGTAATTTAATGATAAAAGAGAAAAAAATTGGTATATCATAGTAAGATGCTATCCTTAGTCCTTAAGAATAGATCAAGTCGCCTCTTAAAGGACTCCTGGGAAGTTGCTTGGACTAGCTCAACTGGCAGCGAATTCCAGCATTTGACAACTCTTAAGGAGTAGATGTTGGGCCTGCAGTCCGTTCCACTATGTTGTATCTCTAATTTCTGGGTGTTACCCCTTTGGTTAGTGTTGGGACTAAGCTTAAGAAGGTGTTTAAGAGGATGTCCTAGAGTGTTAAGGATACTGTAAGCCATCAGAAGGTCACCCCTAAGACGTCTATACTCTAATGGGTAAAGGTCGAGTGATTGGAGGCGCTCTTCGTAAGGTTTAAACTTGAGTGGCTCGCCGTTGGATACACTCCAGTGTGTCCTTATCCTTTTGGAGTGTAGGAGGGAATACTATGTTTCCGTACTCTAAATGGGAACGAATGAAGCTATCGAAGATTATGTGGAAAGTTCTCCCGTCAAACTGAACAAAAATGCGCTTCAATGTTACCAGTGCCAGGTTTGCTCGAAAGGCATTTCTGTCACAGTTGGCGTAAGACTTTAAGTCGTAGGGCACCGGAACTCCTAAATCTTTTTCGACTCGAGATACTACTAGAGAGGAGTTTCCTAAGTTGTAACTGTAATCTGCGACGTGTCGCAGATGGACTACTTTACACTTTGAAGTGTTAAAGGTAAGTCCGTTGTCGTCTGCCCAACTTTGAAGTCGAGTCAGATCCTCCTGAAGTGCCTGTATGTCCTCTTGGTTGCATATCTCCCTCCAAAGTTTCACGTCATCGGCAAAGAGTAATATGTCTGACGTTACCTGTAGAGGAAGATCATTTGTATAAATCAGGAAGAGAAGAGGTCCTAGTACTGAGCCCTGGGGGGACCCCACTAGGACATTCCATAGCCTGTGATTAATTGAAGTTTACCCTGACCTTAAAATGTCGATTTGTCAGATATGAACTGAGCCAGTCAATTAAAGGTGGTCCGATACCCAATTTTTTGAGCTTGTTAGTAAGACATATGTGGTTAACCTTATGAAAAGCTTTAGAGAAATCAAGGTAAATGATGTCCACCTTCCCCTTGCGATCAACGATGCTTGTCCATCGCGGTCAGCAGGCCCGTCATACAGGAGTAACCCTTCCTGAAACCATGCTGTTGGGGTGAGAAGAAATTTAAGGACAGCAGATAGTCGTGTATACCATCGTGTACCAGGGACTCCATGATCTTTGAAGGTATAGAGAGAAGAGCCACTGGTCGGTAACTTGAAGGTTCGCTGCGTCGACCTCCTTTGAAGATTGGTATGATATGAGCCAGCTTCCAATTATCCGGTAGTTTGCCTCGACTTAGCGAGTGTGAGAACATCACGCTAAGCGGTGCTGCCAGGACTGAAGCTGCTTCCCTCAGTATAGCAGAGTGGACCATATCTGGACCAGGAGAAGTGTCTGTTCTTAGGTGTTGTAGTTTACGGAACACCAAGTCAGCGCTCAGTTTCACTACGGAAAGTCTTGTGCAGTTGCAGATAGAGCCGTCATCAGTATAATTGATGTGGGTCGGTTGAAATGTCCGGGAGTATTGCTCAGCCAGAAGGTTAGCGGCGTCACCGTCATTATCGGTCGAGCCGTTAGGACCTAGCAGTTGAGAAACTCCAGTTCTGGTTTAACGAAGAGAGGCTGCGTAATGGAATAAGCTTTTAGGATTGGAAATAAATTTATCCATAAGCATTAACTAGTACTGAAGCCTGTCTTCTCTTATAGCCTTCGTACATATGTTCCTTATATGTTTGTATTGTCTGTACTCGCCGTTGTTGTCGGTTCGTTTGTATTCTACCCAACGGTGCCTTTTACGGCTTAGCAAACGAAGAGTGCTGTTTTCGATGGTTGTAGGTTACATGTGGCTTTTGGGGACAGTTCGAGGGACTGACTACTTTGTATCACATAAGAGTGTGTGTAATAGGAAGTTCCAGTGAGCATCCACATCAAGTTGAGGGTGAACATCCCAATTCACCTGTTGTAAATAGTCCTGTAGAGCTGACACATTCAACCGTTTGAAATTCCAGTGCCTGTTGTTGTTGGGATATCTTAGCTCAGTTTTGCTGACGAAACTGAAGGCTATAACGCCGTGATCTCTTTTCCCCAGGAGAGCCAGGATTTAGAGGTTGTCGACTAGAAATTCTTCATTTGTAAAAACACAGTCTAAGCGCGACGGTGTCTGACTGTCCCACCAACGAGTAGCCAACTTCACATTTTCGTGTAGTCCCAAATCCTCAATGAGGTTGAAGAACCGAGCTTTGATTGAATTTTCACCTCCAATATACGTATGTTCCGCGAAGTTGACTCTAGGGAGATTGAAGTTCCCTAGAATCAGGATATGAGTGAAGCCGAGACGCGTAGAGCGGATAGTTCTTCCAGCATGCGACTGTCATACTCGATGTCGGCAGTGGGCTTCCTTTACATGACTCCGACTAGGCACCTCGAAGTAGTGGACAATCTCATAGAGCACCATATAGATTCCCCAAGATTGTCAAACTCATGGTTGTGAACTTGGTGTACCTCGAAGCCAGATCGTATGTATAGGGCTACTCCACCCCTAACTCTTGTTTTTCTGTCATTGCGAAACAGAGACATCCCAGGTATTGCTAGCTCCTGGTCCGAATACTGAGGAGATATCCAAGTTTCAGATATTCCTATCAGATGAACTTTATTAGCGTTGCTAAGTTCACTTAGTTCATCCATTTTATTTGGTAGACTCGCGGTGTTCATGTATAAGTAGTTAATGCTTTCAATCTGAAACGCGTGAGCTTCTTCCTGTTTGTCTGTGTGAGCCTTATGTGAGTGGACAGGTAACCCACCTTCATAAGTTTTGTCGAATCGGTAGGCCATGTCTTTTACACGTCTTTTTTATCTTCAAGACAGTCCACAAATGGAATGGTCAGCTCCAGCTTGCCTTTGTGCTTGATCCTGGCGTCGTATGGTCTGCCCGGGATGCATGTGGATCCCAGTTGGCAACCGACGTCTGTTGACACGAATTGCTTCTAGAGCTGCAGCCGCCATGTGAGAGGATGGAAAAGTTATTCTCACTAGTCGGGGTCTAGGATCACCGTCCTTCTTGGATAGTCTCATCACATTCTGAGTCAGTATTTTTTTAAGCCTCAAAGACTGTTTGATGAATTCCCATTCCCGAATGTCAGAGTTTGCTTGACTAGGGTCCATGTTTTCTGGTACACCTTGCACGATGATATTTCTTCCGCGGAAAAGCTTCTCTCAATAATCTTCAGACACGTTCCGGATGAGATTGCGCTCAGAATACGGTATGTCGGGCAGTATTCTGACGTTCCCATCGCATTTCAGTAGATGACTAGCTAGCAGGACATCCTCTACTTCGGTAGCATTCTTGAGTGTTACACGAAGTAGTCTCGGGTGATTTTGATGTTTAGATTCCTTTCTCCGAGTGAGCCGTGTGACCGTCAAAGGCTCTATTCTAGGAAGTTCGAGCTTTTTGTTCAGTTCACTCCAGAGCATCCTGTCTTTTTTGTCCTGCAAACTGAGAGGAAGGTCAGGGTTGTCTATGAGGTTCATGATTATGGGAGAGTCATCACGGACCGTTGTTCTTTTCCCAGGTTTTCCGGTGTGTTCAGGTTCAGTACGTTGTTGTTTGGAGGTCGAAGCAGGTTTCTGAGTCGTAGGCCTTTTGATAACCGGGCGGACGTTTTGGGGGTAGACTGAGCGATCAGATCACCAGATGATGTCCGTACAACACTTGGGATGTTAACCTTAGACTGTGATACCTGGTCGTTTTTAGCTCTGTTGGCGTGGGTGCAGTCGCCTGCAGAGTTTTTGGGGACCACTGTTGCGTTTAAGGGCCCTGTACTGGGAGATCCAAGTTTAGTGAGGGAGTCAATCACCGTCTACGTAATGATGGTGCTGAGTTTCAACATGTCATCATTAGTGCTAATGCGTGTTCCATCGATGGTAGACTTATCGACATCCCTATTCTTATTTTCGTTGCGCGCCCTTGATTGTCTACCTACTTAATGGCTGTCTGCTTCCATGTTTACTGACAATTTATTCCGCAGACCTGTCAGTAGAACAATTATGTTGCTCAGCAGTACTACAGCGTCCGTGCTGCACGTAACACACACCCACTTACGATCCGATCTGTTGAGTCTCTTGTAAGCAGTTGCCGTAAGATCTGTGCACTTTTCGTGGAACCAACATTTGCAGTTGTCGCACTGCATGCCAGATGTAACAGCAAAACTAAATCCAGGTCGTTTGCATGAATTTTTCATGGCTGTATTGACATAAACAGTGTTAAAGATAGTATCAAAGATTAAGACCATTAAAAATACACTAAAAAGCACACCAAAAACGGGTAAAATGTATAAAAACGGATGAGATAAAATAAACTAGCCTTTACGTGAAGAACTGAAGCAAGTAAGCTGAAGCAAAACTCCAGTTAACTATTAAATTGAACGAAACTCAAAAAAAGTAATCTACCGAACTTATAGCTCAGAATAGATTGTTTATACCAGAAATGGTACATTTGTTGCGTAAGAATACGGCAAAAGTTTGAGAAATGCAAGCCACGTTAGGACTAAACTTCCCGTTCAGTTTGAATTTGAGTTTCAGTTTGAAAAGGACAGGAAGCTTGATGGCTTGTGTTAGTCTTGACAATAGTATTCTCTCAGTTGATATAAATTTCTTTTGAAAGAATCTACGGATGGAGCTTCAACCACGTGTTGAGTTAATGAATTCCACTCGTTGATGATTCGGTGGGAAAGTCTATAATCAGCTGACAAGTAATTTGTTCTGAGCTTGTAAA